CTAGAGTGCCAATCACCTCGTCTATGGCTCTTTCGTTAGCACCAGCATCCATCGAGAAGTTGGGGTCCAGATAGGAGACTCACTGAGATCGATGGAGTATTCGACGTGCGGTTCGTCTTGGATACATAACCATTCGTTAATATTGAACAAAAAGCACCCTTATCAAGCGGGAAGACTTACCGGCCACTCTACACTTACATGTCATCGTCCCCGGTTTCTGGCCGGCGGCGCACCAGGTGCAGTAGGCGCCCTCGAATGCCCTTCCCCTATTCGAAGTATTAATAACCCACTCGGAATCAACCCAGAAGGTTCGACAAACAGAGCCTTTGCATGCAACCCCTTCGAGGGGGAATAGCCCAAGCATGTATCCAACCCCAGTTCGCTTTTTTTCTCGCCGTATGGGCCGGTGCATGTTGCCGACAGCTTGGGGCTGACATAGAGACTACGGTGCTCTAGTAGGAGAGAGATATCATGGCATGCATCCATAAATCCAAACCGCGCGCTCACATCGGCGACAGCCAAAGCTGCCAACGGCAAGAAAACAAGAAGCCTGAATCGATACATGGCTCCAGGTGGAACATCAACCAAACCAACAGTGATCTTGTAGGAAGTGGAATGTTATATGGATCTACGGGTCCTTTTATACCTACTATGTATGGCCTTGGTAGCGATCAAAAGGCTGTGTCGGCTTAAACTTCGGCGATGTCCCGTCCCAAGACAGGGCGCTTGGTTCGAGTCGGGCAAAGTAGTCAAGGTGGGCGAGTCGGGCAAGCCGGGCAACTTGGGTGAGAGTAAGATCTATATATAGTGTATTGGTATGATCTCTAGTACGTGAATTCGTTACTGTATTTGAATTTTTGATGTCGTTTGGCCTCGCATTAGCGTAAACCCGCGCAGTGATGGGATACCCAGGGGTTATCAAACCGTCTCCTGTCAACCAGGAAGGAGGCTATAGCTTTCGGATCACAACGTCAATGTAGATTCTTGTCCCAAAAGTCATTGTATCCATATTCAGTCTATCTACTTCAGCTCCCCCGTAGCACCGTCGATGTTACACGCTTTACAGAATCCTTTTGAAAACAGCCATGCAGAGCCGCATACTACCAGGGCCATCGGAAATCACTCTAAAAGAAGACATTAATACTATACTGGTTAAGCCTTTAGGGAAGAGATGGACACTTACAAATTCACCGCTTTGTCCAAGGCAACCCAGGTATCCCGAATTGCTGTAAACCACTTGATCTGTAGGCCAGTTGTCAATAGGGGCACGCAACCTGAGCTTCGAGTCAAGAAGGAACTTACTGAGATCAATCGGATAAGAACGGCGAGCTAGATTGGAAAAAAAACAAAAAAAAAAAAAGGGGTAAGTATCAGAAGGAATATTCTTCAACATGGTAAACTTACTCTCGCCATAGAAACACCTCATTAGTGCTGGGGCATATTTACTATGTATCCCGTCAGGGTTGAGGGTGGCGTTTTGACAATGCTCTGTAAATGCATTTCCACTTCATGGAGTTATTCAAGATATTCCCAAAGCTGTTACCAGATTCAAAACTTCTCACATACCCTATTTTTGGTTGTAATCCACCATCCTCACTGAAGGCCAGACACCAGTCCAGTTGCAACATGGATGGTATATGGTTTCCCTCCTCGTCGAAACACAATGCTATCAGCCGGGCTGACTCGCCTTGTGGGTGTTCCACAGTCATCATGTCGCACTTGTCATAAAAGCCACCCTTGAGTCTTTCCGTACTCGGGGGATCAAGAGCGGCCGGGGCTCGATGGCTGTCGCCCTTTCGACCAAAGCAGCCCAGGTGACCCTCATCATCAACATAAACGGTTCCCACTATAGGACTTTCGTTAGTAGGGTTACACTGCCAGGACTTGGGTTAAGATAGGAGACCGATTAAGATTAAAGTCGACAGTAGTATTATCTAAAGTATTTATATATCTATCAGTACCAGAAGACATCTTTCTCAAAGGAGGAAACTTACGCAATCCACAAGAACAGTGAATACTAGTAGTATCTCCGCCGTCAAGGTCGCAGTAGGGACATTCTGCTCCATATCCATCCCCCCTTACTAAAGGTTATTTAAGCGGTTCACAAAGCTGCTAATGGATTCAAGGCTTCTCACATACTCTTGTTGTGGTTGTATATGGTCGGCGACCCAGCTGAAATAGTGATCCAAATCTAAGAAACTCGTAGTGTATCTTCCATCATATCCATAACAAGGCGCAGTTATGGTGCTTGGCCCATGGTCCATTTTCGTCGAGAGTATCACAAGCTCGTGACAACCACCCAAAAGCGCATCCTTATAGATACGATTGTTAGCCACGGCAGTCTTGTTTGCTTTGCCACCCTTGGGTTCCTCGGTAGTCGGAATATCCTGAGGCTTTGGGGGTGGCCCGTGTTCTCCCTTTAGGCCAAAACAGCTCAGAACACCATCATCATTATGGACGGTTCCATCTATGGGCCTTCCATTAGTAGGGGTACACAGCCAGGATTTGGGATCACGATAGGAGACATACTGAGATCCAAATGGGCAGAAGTTGCTACTACGTAACCGCTCACGAGATCAGTAAGATCTGAAGACATATTGATCAAGAAAGGAAACGTACCAGCCTTTTTGCTGAAACATATACACCTCGTGCTTGAACCAGGTTGTCCGGAAGGTAGCCTGGAATAATTCCTGCAGCTATCACATTGTGCCGAAAATCCGTCCCCGCTGATTAAAAGTTATCAAAATATCCACAAAGTTATTGACAGATCCAAAGCTTCCCACATACTCCTTTTTTGGTTGTATGCTCAAGGTGTTCCCGTCGTTGATAGTAAAACATCCATCCAAGTCCAAATGGCTTTCCATTTGGCGTCCATCACGGTTTGGGCAAACGGCAGTCGCCCAGACTTTCCCATCTTTTGAATACTTTTGCACACTGACATTCGCGCAAGTAGAGTACACGCCATCAACCCCACCCTTTGGGAGCTCATCACCGGCCGCCAAAGCTGCCAGGAGAAAGAAGATAAGAGGTAGGAATCGATACATGGCAGCAGATGGAAGATGAACTAGTGAATATTTTGGAGCAAACAACAAGGTATTATGTACCTAAGTGTCCTTTTATATCTAGTTTGCCTCCTTCTCGGGAACTCCTCTACGGCCTTGGCAGTTATCCAAACGCCCGTTCGGCTTTTACCTTCGGGGCGCTTGGTTCTAGCCGGGCAAAGTAGACAATGTGGGCGAGTCGGGCAAGTCGGGCCATATCTATATTTGTATGATGTTTGGACCATCTAGAGGATTTTGATTAGGTAGCTAATTGGACTGCTTATACTCCCTAGGCTGTCACGATCTTCCAACCACATGGCAATGGAATAATGAATGATTAAGGCTGAAGGCTTAGCCAATGTAGCATACTATCCTACAGTGCTGCACCAAGGACTCTCTAAAAGGTTTAGCATTGGTAGTGCTACAAGGGCTTATAAAAAAGAAAGTAAACGGGTTTGACCAGAACATGCCCATCGTCGGCCCACTGAGAGATAGTCAACCCAGTACTCATGGCGGATCATCCTGTAAAGTATCAGCTCTGCACTAAGAGGAATGACAGTTTAGTTACTCTAGAAGACCTAGAAACTTACAGTACCACCAAATACTACTCTTCAGGCCGAAACAACTCATATAGCCATCATTATTGGAGATGGTTTGATCTAGAGGCCTTTTGTTAGTAGGGGGTGCACAGCCAGGATTTCAGGATGAGACAGGAGACAGACTAAGATCAATAGAGACAGAAACATCGCGATCTAAGTGTTTCATAAATCCATTAGTCCCAGACGAATGTATGAAGAGGGAAAACTTACTCTCGCCACACGTACACCTCAAGACTCCTCCATCAAGATCACAATAAGGACACTGTGCCCCAAATCCTTTCCCGCTTATTATCGAAAGTTAGTGAAAAGAAAATACCTATAAAGCTGCTGATAGATCTGAAGCTTCTCACATACTCTTTCTCTGGCCTTATATGATCGGTATCCCAGCTGAAACACCAATCCAATTCCAAGCGCTGTAGAAATTTATCGCCACCTTGTCCTAGACAGGCTCCGTGCAGCCAGCATGGCCCGCCAAAGCCATTGAAGTCCTTGCTCGGATAGTTAACCCGGACATCAGAACAAGTGTTCAAAAACCCACCCTGGTTGTAATCAACGGTAGTCTTGTTATCTTTGCCACTCTTGGGTTCTTCGGTAATCTGAGGATTCTGTGAGGGCTCATTGGCAGCTTTGGCTACCAGGGGCAAGAAAAGAAGAGCTGAGAATAGCTGCATAACTTCTCTGTGAAAGGTAGACCGACGGTTACTTTGTAAAGCATCTGTCGAAGAGCTAAACTCCAGGCGGTCCTCTTGTGGCCTATTTAAGCTATTCTCAGTGGATCACCCCAAAGCTCTCATTTTGTCCGGTCAAGGAATGAGTCCTTTCTCCTCGAGGACGGCACAAGACGGCGCGCTTTGTTCTGGTCGGGCAAGTTGGGCAAACGCCCAGGCGTTCAAGCCACGCCTAGATCTTTAATATCAAGGGCATTTTCAAAGACCCTAGGACTTAATTATGCATGATAATGTTCGCAGCAAAGATGCTTCGTTGAGGTCATTTTGGAATACGATAAGATACCAGTATACTATCTATATTTGTGCATATGTATTTCAAGGAAAACAGGCTGTCTCTCGGCATATTCGCCCGGTATAATTCCTCTAGCTTGAGAGTTTAGCGTACTTCCCAAATCACCAGACAGATAAAGCCCTTTCTTGAATTGGTCCCAAAGGATACATGTGGTAGCTCCAGTTGACTCAGGACATATTCGTGAGGCTGCTATTATATTTGGTCACAATGTCTGCTTCATTTGCACGTTCTAAATTTCTAGCCACGATACGATTATTCCACGTCCATATGAATATCTAGACCGAGCTCCTCCGTTGTCCAACATTTCATTCAAGATACATCCCGGCTAAGGGTGCACGACCTAGAGGTGCACCGGACATTGCAGAGTTTTGTCCGAGCAAACACAAACAGGTTCGCTGTTCGTTGGTGTACACTGTAGATTGGAGGTGCCCGTGCAGACACGATTTCTGGCCCTGCAACAACAGTTTCTCTCCCCCGTTGTCTCGTCGCGATAGTGGACAAGAGCATCTGGCGAATAAATCTGGGGATGCACATTTACCATGCGGGACTTTGTGACGTTCTTTGAGTCATAGCATGTAAGAGTGTCCTTTGTGCCATAACAAGTGCCCTCACCCTCTCCCCGGTATGCAATAACAGGGGCCTGAGCCTGTGGAGAGGTACATGGTCCTTTCGGAGGCCCACAATAGCCAAAACGAAGCTTGCCACGAGGGTCCGAATGTAAGGTTTGGCACCTAGGTCGAGTGCTATCAGGGCAGGGTGTGTTCAGCATACAGTCTGAAACACATAGTTTCCGCAATTCTGGCTCATATATGTCTTCAAATTTCTGGTTCTTATATATCACTTGGTGAACACAAACCATGACCGCCTTACATGAGCAACTGCCTCCAAGATCACAATCCTCTTTGTCCCAACAAGGCTTTCCTAGATGGTTTCTTGAACGTTCTGCGGCGTCTTGGATAAAGTTGGATTTGTCTTGTATGCTTTGGGGATGTTCATCGGATTGAGAGTCTGCCAGATTGGATAGAACACTGCTCGCAGTGTAAGGCTTTCCTGGCACTGAAGGATGAGTCGGCTGGGTATGCTCCGTCCTTGAGCCTTTGGCACAAAGTGCGGGATTCTGCCATATTGCGCCTGCAGCATACTTCCAGAGATTGGTATAGTTGTACCAGGTCTCGGGAACGAGGAATATCCTGCAGTCAGCGGCCTCATAGAGAAATTGTAAAGGAGTGGCGGAGGTGTCAGTGTGCCGGACCTGGTCTCGAAGATTGACTGTGGCGGTATTAATGAAGAACACATGTGCGCGGTTGGGTAAGTCCACATGCGCCGATTTGTCAATGCCTCGCGCCAGGCCGATGTCTTCATGTATATCCTCAGCCTTGTAAACTGCTGCACCACGGGTTCCACTTGGTGCCTGCATCGGCCCATAGCTGGGTTGGCCTCCGATTACAACGGTTCGCACTCCTGCTTCATGATGCATAAGTTCCATGAAAAGTGCACATGCCGACGAGCAGAGCCCGTCACTCAGGATAATGATGTCCTCAGGTTTATATGGCTGACCGTCATCATGGTCATCGATTTCAATTCCAGCCGCCCCCATGGTAAATAAGGTGCTTGATAAATTGTATTGCTCCTAGGCGCCCTCCGTCAGCACCGCGTGTTCCATCGAAGACGGGGTAGAAGGATTGGGTTTGGATACTTGCCTTCTTCGTAAAGCCATCTCCACGATAATGATCTGCTGGTCCGACAAAATCATCCCACGAGGTGAAGTTTCTTCCAGTATCTAGGTCCAGCCGGCCGGTTACCACCCACTCGTTAGCTATTAACTTGTGATACTCCGGATGGTCCATGGTGAGGTTTTGCCAGTAGGTTGTTAGGACAGAACCTAGAGCGTTTGCCATTGGATGAACGCGTCGACGACTACTTGCCCACGGCGTAATGGAAGGGAAAAACTATATGGAAACATGGGTCAGCTAGGATCAGAGACACAACAGAGCCGAGCGAGTTGCAGCGTTAACTCACTATCTTAAAGACTTCAAGTACTAACAAAGGGCTTCCACCTGGGTTCTGTTGTACGTCAATAACTACTTTCTTAAGGCCTGCGTTGGTGCTGCGTGCGAGGAATTTCTTAACTGTGTTGCTGAACGATTGGGGAGCATCGGTGGCAGCCACAAAATGCGGAATGCTAAGAACTGCTAAGGAGGCATCATGCAAGAAGTAACCTCTTAGAAGCGATCCCCCATTCCTAGTGTAGCTTGCCTCTATTACATCAGCTTTTGAGGGATATGCTGGGTTTTCAAAAGGAGTTAATTTGGGAGTTGATGTGTTCGATGAGATCACGACTCCTCGCTTGGAGATAGTCGTCGTGGATGCCGCCAGGCTTTCGTCGGATGACGCAGGATAGCCGCCTAGGACAAAAAGATTATAGAAGTCGTCCATCGTCTGCAGCGATCCATTGCCCTCCTGGCAGCAGAATGAAGCCTTCCAAGGAAGGGGGCCGAGCGTCGTACCGTTCTCGAACGTAAATGTAATGAAGTCTCCTGGGTAGGAGGTGGCAGCTCCGTGGAAGACCTCCCGTTTTCCTTGGATGTCCAATGCCGCACTTCGCATCAACATGTTCCAATCTGCATGAGGCTCAAGCTTTCCGATGGAGTTAACAGAAGCAAACTGCATCAGGTATTCAACGACATCCTGACCATTAACGGTTGCGATGGCTGACGGCTGCCAATGTAGACAACCCGTTTCGTTGGCGAATAAATCATCTGGAAGACGCTAATGTCAGCGACAGTTATCTTGAACTTCTCTGTGTATCTACCTGAGATGTAAACCTTGGGCAGCTCTACCCCGTCCAACGAAACAGACACGATGCTGTAAGGAGCTGCATATGTAAATCGGGACAGTGCGCCGCCGACGAGTGTAAGATGATCATCATGGGCAGCATGGATCAAGTGGTTCAGAGCCGTCTCAAAGGCATATTCATTGCGGAAGATATTATCATCAATATCACGTTGGAGTTGAGACAACCCGGCTACGAGGTCAACGGCCGGCTGCTGGTAGCTCTGTGGTGGATCAGCCAAATAGGCGAGAGTACTGTGGAATTGAACGATGTCGTTGAGATATTGGACAAGTTGACTGGCAATATCTGCGTGGAACGGAAGGCTCGTCAGACACTTGTAGGCTTGGCTCGCGTCGAATATAGACACTTCTAAGTAAATTGCTCATAATCAGCACCGAGAGTTATTATCTCGTTTGCTTCACGCATCACATACCCTCGTTATTCACAATTTCACCGCAAATGGTTGGGTTGGGAGTCATGGCACTGGTGGAAGATGTCGGCTGCTGCTGCCATGTCACCGCGAGCACCTGCATCAGCATGAGCACAAGTATGCCAATGATCTGCCGCATCATGAATCCTGATTGAAAATGTATTTTTTTTTTCCGTTTGGGGATAATTTAGATGCTTGTCTACTCAACGCCTTGGTATCAGGATTTATACCTTGTCGTGAGACGGCAGATGCGTTTGCTCCCTCAGATGATTCCACCTCAGCCCGCTCTCTTAGCATTTCCTCTTGATGCAACTTCTCTGAAGGTGTCAGCTCTTAGAATACTCAATCTGAATCATTTATTCGTCTGTGACCTCCTTTCCCAACCTTGGCAGGTCCCAAGAAGCCCCAAAGAAGCCCCCGGAGCACGGGATTGGAGATTCCCGGTTTGCAGAGTAGCAGACACTCAGCCTCGTCCGATGAGTCCGCCACAGCCAAAGACCCTAGTTTCAACCAAGACAAGTCTCATTATTGAAACTGAGCCAACAGCATGGCGCCTAACAATAAATAACGAGCACTCATTACTCATACGTTACCCAGGGGTGCTTTCAGCCTTGCTTTGCTGCCACAAACACATACGAGACACCAAAGGAAACCATACCGAATAAGGACACCGTACAGTATCTTGTCTTCATTCAGTCTCATGCTGTCACGGCCTGTCTATCCTGATGACTTCCAATCCTTACTACGTAAGGCAGGCCCATCTGACTATACTTACTACTTGCATACAGCACGAACTCTGAGGCCGGGAGTGCTCTTTCCTCATTCACAATCTTCTAAAGGTTCAGCATTGCTGGTGACCCCCTGAATCACTTCCATATGTTCCTAGGGCTTACTTGTTCCATAAGTGGCGGTCAGACATTACATTACCAATTCTTCTTCTTCATCCCCCTACTCCTTTTAGGACCTCTCTCCCATCCTGTCACAGTATTCCATCTTCACTTTGACTCTACCGCAGTATGGACAGCTCAAATCGCATTCTTCACACTCGCGACGCCTACACCGTCGGCTGGGTTTGTGTTCTGGACGCCGAGCAAAATGCCGCCAGGGCTCTCCTAGACGAACTGCACGTCTCTCCACCTACCCCCCACGATGAGAACGCATACATTGTCGGCCGCATGGGGAAGCACAACGTCGTCATTGCTAGACCTATCGGCCAAGGAAAAGCTAATGCTGCTGAAACTGCGGTGAACATGATCCGCACGTTTCCCCAGATCCGGTTTGGATTGATGGTAGGTGTTGGCGGGGGGGCCACAGACTCTCCTGACCCTTACATGGGAAAGAGAGATATTCGGCTCGGAGACGTTGTTGTCAGCAGGCCTCAGGGCAATCATGGTACGTTGGTGATCTAGGATTCTAGACTCCAGTCCCGCGCTGCCTAGAGCACCTTATCAAACCTGACTTGGCTAATGCGTGATTGGATATGATTTAGGCGGCATTATGCAGTACGATACGGGTAAAAAGTACCCTGAAGGGTACAAAATTATATCCCACCTGAACAAGCCGAAAAGTACTTTGATCACGGCGGCAAATACGCTCCAATCACATCACAACTTCAAGCAGGGGGGCATGAAATCGTATATACAGGAGGCGATCTCCAAGCTCCGGGATCTGGATATGCCATATTTTGGCTTTCCGGGTCGCGAGCATGACCTGCTGTTCCGGGCAGAGTATCGCCATTCTGACGAAGGTGAGGACTGCAGCAACTGTGACAGAACACAAATAGTCGATCGTGCCCCGCGACTGGAAGATGGTCCCTCCGTCCATTATGGGCTCATTGCATCTGCAGACCTCACTATGCAAGACCCGATGTTTCGGGATGAGCTTCGCAAATCCGAAAAAGTACTTTGTTTCGAGAAGGAAGCGGCGGGCCTGGTGGATCACTTCCCATGTCTTGCCATCCGGGGTATCTCGGACTATTCAGACACTCATAAGTGCAAGAAGTGGCAGCCGTATGCTGCTGTAACTGCTGCGGCTTATGCAAAGGATCTATTGGCGGTGATTCCCCCCAGGACACTCGCCGAGGATACGGCGGCGGCGAAAGACATCGAACAATGTACGTAGTATCCAGATGAGAGATGAAAGGGGGCAGCATCCCCCCCTGGTTTGAATAACAAGTAGACTGTACTAACAAAGGGCTCTGGTTGTATTCGCACATGAAGTAAAGGATGGATTCGACAAGATGAGCACGGCACTGGACACCAAATTCCGCCGTAAATTCCGGGATTGGCTCTCTAACTTGGATTTCAAAACCGAGCAGGAAGAGCTGTTTGGCAGATCCGTGCCAACGGGAAAGTGGCTTCTTGAATCCGATGTATTCAGGCGTTGGGTCGAAGGAAGTCGCTGGCAACTTCGATGTTACGGCGAGCCTGGCACAGGCAAGGTACGCCATCGGGCGGACGAGATCCCTCCAATATGTAATGATCGGTTTTACTGATTCATTTTATCGACCAGACCAATCTCTGTGCTATAGTGGTTCACCACCTCCAAAAGGCTTTTGAGTCACCAAAACCAGTCATCTACATATATCTAAGTGATGACGAATATATACGAGTCAACCAAACACCAGACCGCCTTCTGGGTAGCATGCTAAGGCAGCTAATCTCGTGTGATCCTAACGTCGATATTCCACCGAAGCTCATAGAGGCATACCAGAGTCGTAGCAACGGAGCACTTTCGACTAGAGAAATCATGAAGCAGACGTTCCAGGACTTAGTGGCCAAACAGGATCGCGTATATCTTATAGTTGACGGCCTGAATCAATGCTCCCCGGAGGTTTCAGAGCTTATCAAGGACTATGCCCTGGGGCTTGTTCAGGATGGCCTTCCCCTGAGCCTTCTTACCACCTCACTGGGTTACCGAGAAGTTGGCAAGGATATCTATTGCGATTACTGCGGCACAGAAAACCCTCGCATTTATTTTCATTGTGATTGCAACGGTGGAGAATTCGACCTATGCCTGAATTGCAAAAAGGCAAAAATCACCTGTCCCCAGAACCATGAGGGCGAGGAGCTTTATGACACCGTACGGATGGAGGTACGCGCTCAAGATTACGAGCTCGAACAGTTCTGTCGTGAGATGATCAATCAGGCATGCAAGACGGGCCGCGATCGACGGGATGAGCGCGTGCATCCGTCACCGAAGTACAACCCAAGAGGCGTTGCACGGTACCTGCGCAATAAGAGCAAGCTGGTCGATGAAGTGTGCTGGAGAATTGCAACAAGCGCACAGGGCAAGTTTATCGTTGCACAAATTTGGGTCCAGGATTTACTCGAAAGGCACAAGGAGCCAGAGAACGATGACGATTTGCTTAAAACCTTGGACTGCATACCACTCGAACCTTTGGCCGCGTACGTTAATGAACGGATGGAGAAGCTTGAGAGATACAAAACAGAAAGCGAGCTAAACGTAGCAATCATGACACTCTCCCTGATAATGTCGGCTTGTCGGCCTTTAAATCTGCTACAGTTACAGCATGCGTTGGCCCTCAACAGCGTCTCGGGCCTGATCGTAGAGGCAAACCTAGACAAAAGAACTTTCATCCTGAAATCAGCAAACGGGCTAGTCACCGTTCAAAAGGGCGACGAACCACACTCTATCGTACGACTTTTCCACAGTACCTTGCCGAGCGTCCTCGCTGAGCGTGGCCGTTATCCAACTTTAAAGCGTGCGGAGTACGAGATGGCGAAGCTTTGCCTGAAGTACTTACAGGACGAGCAGTCCTTGAAACACTATGGGAATATCACGGCGTATCCTTTTCTGGCCTACGCTCTTGAATTTTGGGGAGACCACGTTCGCAAAGCGAATGATCTACGGATTGAGACGGCAGCGGTTCAGTTCCTCAAAGATCCTGTTCGTTTTGCATGGCTCATACAAGCAGTCGCTAAGTGTTGTCCAAATGTATCTGAGGAGTGGATTCATGAAGCTATGGGCGTTCTTCACCTTTGTGCTTGGTTCGGTTTATCCAATATGGTCAATCTCCTGATTGTTGAAAACCATGATGTCGGCATACGTGATCCTAAATACAGTCGTACCCCCTTACGATACGCTTGCCTCAATGGTCATGTCGAGACGGTAGCAGAATTATTGAAACACAACACCCCAGTAGAGGAGGAGGCAGTAGTCGACGCTATGTGTGGTTTAACTTGTGAGGATCGTCCTCAGTGCGAGCAGGAGAGACGGCAAAGGATTGTTGAAGGGCTTCTGGAGACAGGCAATATCAATACCAATGCCAGATTGGGCTCGAAGAGCCGAACGGTCCTCATGCTTGCAGTGGGACACGGTCATTATGACTTCGTCAACGTGTTCCTGAGCCATAAATCGATCAACGTCGACACTCAGGATTCAAATGGCTTTACTGCATTATCGTTTGCGTTATATGCAGAAGAAGGCGTTACTATCGGCATGATCGATACTGTGGCAGACCATGTATACATTCCACCTTACAAATTTATCAACGACATCCGCTACGAGAAATACAGGTGCCAAGGGCTTGTCAAATTGTTATTGCGAAAGGGTGCTAACCCAAACATGAGAGACAACGCCGGTAACTCGACCCTGATATGGGCTATCAGACTGGGCGCGCTGGATGCTGTACAAGCCCTCCTCGAGTGCGAGCTGTTAGACCCACAAGCTGAAAAGGGGCTTATCCACACAGCGAGCGCAATGGGACACCCAGAGATTATCCATTTGCTCCACTCGGCCCTTTCGCGGAGTAACAAGATCCATGTCTGTAACATAAACACCCGAGACGAACGCGGACTAACACCACTACACTATGCTAGCCTTTCGAACAGCGCACGTGCAGTTGAAGTGACAGAGATGCTGCTCGAGCTAGGCGCAGATCCCAACCTCACAGACGCCAGGGGCTGTACACCTTATATGATGGCTTCGCTACTTCAACAGACACAAGTCATAGAGGTGCTACAGAGCAAAACCAAATCACTCAATTGGGAAACCAGAAGCATGTTGGATCTTCCTGCTTTGACCCTCGCCAAACATGGCCATTGGGAATTGCTTCGAGACGTAATTACCTCCGGGAGGACTGACCTTACATACAAATGCATGTTGAGTGGTGATACCCTGCTACACATGGCAACGACAGCCAATGAAATTGATACTTTGCGCTTACTTCTCAGCAAATTCAACGTGCGACCAGACATTGCAATCAACGAGCAAGGACGTACGCCACTGCATCTAGCGAGCAGTGTGGAAATCGCCACAATATTAGTCGAGAACGGCTGCCATATCGACTCAACAGATTTCAATAATGATACACCATTGGACATTGCGCGTCGACGGCCCCGAGCCCATGATGTCGCTGATTATCTTGAAAATGCGCTAAAGATGTTCGGGCAAAAGCACGATATGGAGATATGGGGGCAAAAGACTAAAGGTGGAATTGGGACACTGTCGAGCGAGCTCACTGTGACTGGTCATGATCGTGGCTTGACTTCGAGCAACTCGCCTGCTTGGACAGTGCGACTGAAGCGTTGTAGCCTCCAGCTACTGCTAGGTACCCTTCCTTTACTTGTAATGTATGTAGTAGTCCTCAGTGCTAGAATTGTTTCCCTGTTGCAATAGAAATCGAGTCTTCTTTGGAAATCCTAACGCCCCTTTTCCGATCTATTTCTCAATGGTTGAAATGAACTGTTCCATATCACCTGTAACCTTTCGATTACAGGATATGTTCCATTGCAGCTGAGCGTCGTATCCCACTAGGCAGGAATATTGGGTTTTCAATAACTGGACTTTTATCGTTGAAGGCCTTAAGAATAAGGCCTGCATGGTGAACCGTGATCTGGGAAGCCGTCACTCACTAACCGCCTTGATGATTTCTTTGTGTAAGTCGAAAGTTCTACGGTTAAGTGGTAATACCACAGGCGCAGGAACAATCCAATGATCAAATACTATGAATGATTACGTGGTGGAGCGAAGCGAACCAACTTAAAAGCATTATAGTACTGGCCAGTGCGTACTCAGGGGGCTGTGTGAAAGTATCTGGATGCTGATTTTGTTAAAGATTACGTTAGTTCTACCAGTCATAATTGTCTCAGGCACCATTATACTGCCACGTGATATTATAAGTCAACCTTGCTTGTGGTGTCACGTGCTGTGTTGTTGATGCCTGAGGCACCAGGTGTGCCAATGTCCAGTCACTTGAGCGAGCAGCCCCGAGCATGGGGGTTCTTTATCGACAAGGGTAAACAAAGGTACTCTATATCTATTAGGACACAGCCACTATTAAGCCAACTTATAGAGCAGTTGTTAACTAGCATCAACAGCCTACAAACTCCTGCAGCCGTGGCCTCGGTTTTCCCTCTATGTTCCTCAAAATCAGAAAACCTTTAATTTCACACACAATAACGGCGAGTATACTGCTGTTGAGTTGGGTCGGTAAGCTCATGTATGCCAGGCGAGAGAGATGCCTGCCAACCTTGCGCCGAAAAACTCTGTCATGTTTGGAATGCCGATAAAGCAGGATGTGAGAGTCATCAAAAAGGCAAAAAAGGAAAGAGCTTTTCCCCCGGCGACCTCTCGGCTATAGAGAAGATTCCATGGCAGCCAAGCGCCATATCCAACTAGACCATCGGGGTTTGCTGGTTAAGACTTCTTAGCTTTTTAATGCACTATAATGGGCACATTCATTCTGTTGCCAAAACATCAACTCTTGGGGTTGGCCTTTATCGATAACTGATAAGCTTGCGATAAGCGATATACGACGTAAATATGGATCCCAACATTCACCAATATATCACTTGGGACCGTCGAGTTTTCTATCTGGTTTGGGGTTTTCAATTTTGTGACTGACTCTAGTAGTTACCGTTATTGAATTTAGGGGTTGGTTACTATACTAAAGTCTGTGGTCTGCTTATGGGGGTTCGGTCTCATTCAGGTGAAATGGTCACTACAAGATATATATTCAAACCGGGGGGGGGGGGGGTATACTGACTGCAGGGAGATTGAGTCAGCCAACCGCGAAAGTCACCCTACTCAAAACTGGACAAGCCTTATAGATATTGAGGAACCACGCACCGAGCGATACACGTCTGTCTCGTCCAAGAAGGGGTTATAATTTAACAAAAACCTCATTATCTCACGACGACTACGGTATTTGCGCAAACGCTTGCGCCTTTCATGTGTGTCCTCTGTACAGCTTATGTAGTGACGCCGATTACAAATGATCGAGCATTCGTCAAACAAGCATCTAAAGACAAAAACTATCCTTCACTATCACTTCACCTGACCACAGCGACTACAGATTATAGCTACGTAGGTCCTAAGTAGTCCGACGCATATCGGCATACCGAGACTCGGCCCGATGGGGACTGGAGGCCATTTGGCATCAGACACGCACGACATAGCTAACAGCGAGCCGAAAAAGGCCTGATGCCGAGAACAAAACTACGTAGATGAAAGTGGATTGGGCATCTCTTTCCGAGCGAGCACGTCGACCAATCGCCATTCGCAGCCAGAATCGGAACAGCAAGACTAATGCTAAGCTATGGATGAACAAGCGGAGCCTTGAAAACTCTTCCTCGCTGTTCATTTGCTAACAGACCACAAGCGCGCAGGCAAACAAGCCAAACACACATGACCTCGCTTCCCACTAGCGCACGCACTAGCGATAGGCGTCGAGTATAAATACCGGCGGTTTCCCATTCATTTCGAAAATTAAGCGACTCTACGTAAGTTCCTCCCCTCCCTACATTTGGGATTTTCCAGCTCAAAACAATGAGCCCATTGAAGGATGATTACTAACGTTCCTGCCTACAGTTCAAAGAATCACTTTAGAGTAGACGTCCCACCTCTGAACTCTTCTAAAGAGCTACAGAATCTCCACCCTTGCTGATGACTTCTATGTCCTCAATGCCCTAAAGTGAAGCCGTGTTTACTCCCGCCTCGACCGCTGGTATCTGCGAACGACTCGCTTCGGTGAGCTTGTTCGAGTGCCTTCTGTCCAGGGAGTGGTGATGATCTTTACCTTGTCTCGATGTCTTGACTTCGGTCGGTCGGATTTGGTGGGCGTTGAGGAGGTCTGAAAGGTGTCTAGCTCCCATTTTCTTCACTTTAATGTTGGTGAAATGATGATCGGGCCTTGGAGTTTTTATCTATATACCCATATTTGCTCAAATAAAATGATTATCTTCTGAAACTTGACATATTGTAGACCATATACTGAGACCCTTTCACCGCGGTAGTTTTGCAACATCGTCCCTAGCGTGCCATTCTATTGTAGGATCCCATATACATTTGCGCAACCGTCGTTCTTTTGCCGGATGCCGGAGGTTGCCCACAGGTGTGTGCCGTCTAATTTCTAGATAGTAGCGCATTACTATTCCTCTAAGGGTATCTATGAACGTTTCGTACAGCATGACAATTCATGAATATCATTTCCCCTCCTTGGCAGTCCCCTCGGGCGCATTCGCATTGGTGTTACCTCCGCCACTTCCCTTACCACCGCCTTTCTTCGATCGCCCGCCGCGTCCACGCGACGATCCCGAGCCACCCTCATTCGTTTTACCCCCGCGACCACCATTGGTATTGCTGTTGCTGCTGTTATTGTTGCCATTAGCGTTGGTAGCCTGAGGTTCATTGCGATTCTTGCCACGGCCTTTCTCTCCGCCGGGGTTAATCTTGCGTTCCAGCACCACAACTTGGCTTTGGGCGACTGATACCGGGCTGGCGGCGATCGCCTTTTGTAGTCCGTCTGGCTCTGCAAAATCAATATATCCAAATCCCTTCTTCTTATCGATCTCCACCTTCACCACCTTGCCGAACGTCTTAAATGCCGCTTCTAACAATGGCTCCGTCACCCCCTGTGAGGGATTGGCATGCTTGAGGAAAGCTTGTCTGGCTGTAGAGGCCGTGGGCGGTGCCTGTTTCCCTTTTGATTTCGAGGATTTACCCGAGATGGGCGTAGTGCTAGCGGGAGGTGTGTTCGCTTCAGACTGGGATGTCAACTCATTGGCTTGTGGTACGTTTCCCTTGGCCTTTGCGTTCTGTGACGAGGCGCCTCCTCTCGACGATTTCGGAGGGGTCTCCTTCTTGCCCGATTCGACACTAGTCGCTTCAGTTTTGGATGCGTCCGTCTCCGCCGAACTGCCCTTGCCCCCCTTGCGGCGACCGCCGGATGGTGCTAGGCCTAAGTCTCGCTGGAGGATCTTGGCTGCGGCCGCAACGCTTCCCCGCTCTCGTCTGCGCTCCGTGGTCGGGGTAGACTGACCGGTGTCCTTGGGTGAGTTCTGTACCGCTGAGGCCTTCGCGGTTTGTTTGGCGACATTGGCAGCCTGTTTGTTAGCTGCCCTCACTGCGTCTTTGGTGGCTTTATCCGCCTTGGATTTCTTTTCATTCTTCTCCGGGGCTTGTGCCGTTTCCTTATCCGGACGTTGGAGCAGTTTCTTTGCTTGAACCTTTTCTGCCTTGGTCTCCTTATCCGCTTTGGCGTGCTTTGAGGATTTACTGGAACTATCCTTCGCTTTGTTCGCCTTTTTCTCTTTGATATATTGCACTAAGGGTGTAGTGGTCACTGTCTCCTTCTTCTCATCCGCATCAGTGGTATTCTCGACCGGAGGCGGTTTGGTGATAGGCTGTGTAAGACTTTCGAGGAAGGCAATGAAATCCGGGTCCTGGTCAATAGTCCCTTGGCGAGCATCTTTCCGTACACGGCTTCCGGGAATTTTCGCATACGGCGCATATTCCACGGAGGGAGGGCCCAACAGAATGGGATCGTTGAAGGTGTTTCGGGCGTCTGTGAAAGATACCTGACGAACCTTACTCGAGAATGGAATAATATGGTCGCTGGACACAACGTGAACGTAGGCACGCGAGGGTCGTGACGGCTTCGCTGGGCTGTTTCCCAAATTAGCACTCGGCAATCTATATAATAAGTACAATTAGCCGGGCACCCACTCCTTAGAGACCTTGCCCGGCTTATATTGAAACCAATCGATCTTTCCCGTTCCAATTTTCCATTCAGGCCCCACAGCAGCCTCAAACTCTGCCTGTGTTAATCCCGGAGGTAGTCTCCGCACTAGGAGTTTGAGTCGTGGTGCAGCTGGTTTGGGCGCCTTCTTTGGCGCGGGGGCGGCGGTAGCAGCAGCAGCAGTGTTGGTGGTGTTCTTCTGTGTCGCGGCAATAGGGATTTGGAGGACACCTCCTGTTGATTTCCCAGCTGGAATCTGCGTCATGGCGTAGAGCGTTTCACAGATCTACACTCCTTTCGGAGTGAGATTGCGGGGGAGGGGTTCTCGAAGATGGATGCAAGACCGAGTTGGCAAACCGGGGCTGTGAAAGAGATGGGAGGGAGACAAGAGGAATGAAACTTCCAAGATGGGAGTCGACACCGAGACTCTGGCGAAGCAAATAAGTGACAGAATGAAATGGGGGACGAGAGACTCCGTGAAGAGCAAAAGCATGACAAGTCAGGTACGGGACACCAGAGGGGCCAATCACGCGACCTCGAGATACCCAACCACCACGTGTGGGGAAAAGCGTCACTTGATCTTGATTAATTACTCAATCCAACCTTTGCGACGTTCTAGATATTCGCCCCTGCTGCAAATAGACGGTCCTCTTCCAATCGTTCCTTTCCCCTCATTTTTTGACCGTCCAGCCTCTATCTTCTATCCTTCTGTTGATCTACCCCTCAATTCCCCCTTTTACTCAGCGCTTTCGTCCACTCTCACCATGGTCGATAGTAAAGTCCCGCAGCCAGGACCGGCCAAATTAAAGCGCAATGCCGGCCCCGACGAATGGTTAGAGGCTGCAAAAGATTGCAAGTATCTTTCAGAGCAACATATGAAACAACTATGTGAGATTGTGAAGGAGTACATGATGGAAGGTAAGCAACCCGTCGAATGAGATCTGTGCTTGTTCCTCCGAGGCTCAGTTGTGCGCGCGCTTAGAATCGAACGTACAACCGGTCTCGACGCCTGTCACAGTCTGCGGAGATATCCATGGCCAATTCTACGATCTACTGGAGCTGTTCCGCGTGTCGGGCGGCATGCCAGACGAGTCTATGGTCGAACCCCCGAAAACATCATCGTCTGTGATCACTTCAGCTGATATCGAGCCTCCCTCGGAAATCACGGACCCCAAACTGCGGAAAAGGTTGAGAAACTCGGGATCACATTCGGAAGGTGGCGACGAGACGAGCTCACAAAGAGAGCGCTCTTCAAGCGCCGGGTCGAACGAGGTGACGCTGAATCGGAATTTCGTCTTTTTGGGTGATTATGTCGACCGAGGATACTTTAGTCTGGAGACCTTGACATTATTACTATGCTTGAAGGCCAAGTCAGTCATACTAGCGCTGGGCCTTTTGTGGAACTGATGCTAACGAATCCTTCGCCAGGTATCCGGACCGAGTAACGCTGGTGCGCGGGAATCACGAGTCCCGGCAGATCACGCAAGTCTACGGCTTCTACGAGGAGTGTTTCCAGAAGTACGGCAATGCATCGGTCTGGAAGGCCTGTTGTCAGGTCTTTGACTTCATGACACTTGGGGCTATCATTGATGGCAGGGTGCTCTGTGTACATGGTGGCCTAAGCCCGGAGATCAGGACCTTGGACCAAGTTCGTGTAGTGGCAAGGGCCCAAGAAATTCCGCATGAGGGTGCTTTCTGCGACCTGGTCTGGTCTGACCCTGATGATGTAGAGACATGGGCAGTCAGCCCAAGAGGCGCTGGTACGTCACTTCCCGATTCGCGAGACGCCGGGCCTTTGACTGACTAATGCAAATGTAGGCTGGCTCTTTGGAGATAAGGTGGCAGATGAGTTCTGTCACGTCAATGATCTGACACTAATTGCCCGTGCGCACCAACTGGTGAACGAGGGATACAAATACCACTTTGCGAACCAAAACGTGGTGACGGTGTGGAGTGCACCTAACTACTGCTACCGATGTGGCAACCTGGCATCGGTTTGCGAGATCGGTGAGGATCTCAAACCGACATTTAAGCTCTTTAGTGCTGTCAGCGATGACCAACGGCATGTACCCACATCGCGGCCGGGCCGTAGCGAATACTTCCTGTAAATTATTGCATGACTTGATTTTCGTTGCACAGTTTTCTTTTTGGGCATATGGAAGGGCATACTGTGACATGGTGAATATTCGATTTTCACCCGGCGCTGGCGTTCGGAGAAACCGTTCATGTGATATGCTCTGCAGAGAGGGACGGATGATAGGCACGTTATATAACGATATTAGAGCACATTTAACGATGGTCATGCTTGGAAATTAGGACGCATGTTGGATATTTCGTCAAATGAAGTTTCATGAAGTACGAACTCGGCCAGTGGTGATACCCCTAGCGGGAAGCCATCCTACAGTAAGCGAAACCCGCTAGTTTGTCCGTATTCTCATCCCCAGGGCATGTCCTCCATATGATGGGCTGATATGTATCTTTCTCCACAGCCGGGGCGGACATGGTGGAGTAAGGAGAAGAAGAAGACCCTGACTGAGGGCTGTGATGATTTGCCGTGCGGATGCCGACCCCGGAATCCATCCCGTGATACCCCGGGATGGATTCCGGACCCCCAGATTTAAGAATCCGATGGCTGCACATGCCAGAAAAACGGAGAGTTTCACAAATCATTGAAGTATCACCCCTATTTTCACTATAAAGCGCCGAAGGGTACCCGCATATTCGCCAAGGTAGTCATGGTCGAGAAAGTTGACGTCCTTATCTGCGGAAGCGGATCCGCTGGCCTCTGCGCCGCCACATGGCTCGCGCGGTGTGGGATCCGCTGTAAAGTGCTTGAGCGCCGCGACGGCCCTATGACCATGGGGCAGGCGGATGGCGTTCAGTGCCGCACCGTGGAGATCTTTGAGAGTTTCGGAATTGGCGAAGAGTTGCTGCGCGAGTCCTACCATGTCCTGGAGGTTGTATTCTGGGCTGCCGACGGTGCCGGCGATATCAAACGTACTGGTCGGACGGCAGATACACAGCCAGGGCTATCACATCAGCCGCATGTGATTTTGAACCAGGCCCGTATTAACGGGTTATTCATCGAGTCTATGCAGCAGTTCAATGACCAGATTATTGATTATGGGTTTGACATCAAGAACGTTGAGGTTGATAGTTCGCTCGTCAATGATCCACAGTCGTATCCGGTGAAGGTGACGGCTGAAAAGGAAGGGAGAATTGAGGTCTTCGAGGCGAAATATGCTCTTGTATGTTTTAACTCATCTTCTGAAAAGTGATGTCCTCTGTCATGTCGTGTTCTAACTTTCTTTGCAATAGGCGTGTGACGGCGCACACAGTACGGTCCGTCGCTCACTAGGTTATAAAATGATTGGTGACAGCAGCGATGCAGTCTGGGGTGTCATGGATATGGTACCCCGGACGGACTTCCCAGATATCCGGAAGAAAACCACCATCCGCTCCAAGGCGGGTAACTTGTTGATCATTCCCCGTGAAGGCGACGCTCGCAACTTAACACGGTTTTACATCGAGCTGCCTGCAGGGACCAAGGCCAAAGAAGTCAAGCTGGAGGATCTACAACAATCTGCGAAGGCTATCCTCAGCCAGTACAGAATCGAGTTCGCCGAGACGGTGTGGTGGTCTGCCTATGCTATTGGTCAGCGCCATGCGGACTTCTTCCATAGGGATTACCGCGTCTTCCTGGCGGGTGACGCCTGTCACACCCATTCTCCCAAGGCCGGCCAGGGCATGAATGTCAGCTTGCAGGATGGATACAATATTGGCTGGAAGTTGGCCACCGTTTTGAAAGGATTAGCGCCTCCGTCCTTGTTAGAGACGTATGTCGTTGAGCGACAGAAGGTAGCTATTGATCTGATCAACTTCGACCGATATTTCTCGAAGCTTTTCTCGTCTGGTGGGCAGACATCCCCTGCCGAATTCCAGGAAGGGTTCATTAAGTCCGGGAAATATACTGCTGGCTTGACGGCCAAATACGATAGCTCTGCGATCACCTTTCACACAGAGGGATCAGAACAGCTTTCTACTAATATTGTGACCGGCATGAGGTTACCAAGTTCCCAAGTGGTGCGGTACTGCGACTCAAAACCCGTGCAGTTGATGACAGCTTTGAAATCGGATGGCCGCTGGCGAGTCATGGCCTTTATGGGTGACATTAGCAAACCTGAAAATAGGTCCAAGTTGAACGCAGTAAGTTTGGAGGTATTCCATTCACCTTCCATGCCCTGGCTGACAGACGCAGCTTGGAAACTACTTAAGCTCAGATGAGAGCCCCTTGCACCGCTTCCGCCAGAAGGATGCCGACATAGACAGTGTGATTGAACCTATCTTAGTGGGCTATGGGAAGCGACACGGTATCGAACTGGAAGAAATCCCAGAGGCTTTCCACCCAATCACCGGAAAGAATCAAATCCAAGGTAAGGAATTTCCGCCCCCTCCAAGTATGTGGCATAAAGCTCACTTAATGAATAGATCTGCACAAAATCTACTTCGACGACGAAAGTTACAACAAAGGTCACGGCCGCGTATACGAGTACCTTGGTATTGGCCCCGAGCAGGGCGCAATTGTGATTGTCAGACCAGATCAATGTACGTTTTGCCCCCTCCCTTCCATGCTTGAACGACAATAATTGACCAAAATAGATGTCTCGGCCGTGATTGGACTAGACGATTACCAGCAGATAGGCCGATTCTTTGAAGGGGTTTTAATTCCTCAGGGGGAAAACGCTTTACCGGGGAGCAAATTATAAAGTGTTGCTTGCATTGGATGGGCATCCTCTGTGATGGATAACCCGTTTAGATATGAAGATCATGAACAATGAAGAGCCTTCTATATGCCTAAGCACCTGTATCCCACTCCCTTTAATTCACCCCACCGTACGAACAATAAGGCAAGGCCTCCCGATACACCATCCTCTCAGATCCAGTAACTCCTTCTCCGGAAGGATCCCTCTTCAACAAGAATCTCTCAACCTGGGCATCGCCAAACCCCAAACAACTCGCTCGCCGTCTCCGAGACTCGATCAACCGCCCACCACCCTGACTGCTAACATCCTCTGTAGGAAATCCATCCTTGTAGTTCTGGCTCGTGAGGAAGCAAGCCTGCATAAAAACCCCCACAATAAATAACAGTACAATCAATCGTCGATGCTGTAAATCTTGCTCCAAACCTGATCTACTTTGTGCTGGGATCTGGGAGTCATGTCTCCATTTAAAACTCGCCCATCCAATGTGGTTATCATATGTTGGTACTGCCTGCTGGAAGCAATTCAATCGGTCTTCTTTGGGACGAGACGGGTGGGTGGCGTGCCATTCATCTCGCTGGTGTTGGCGCATGAGGTCGTATCGTCCCTGGCTGTATAGCCCTACTTGGCGCAGGGCTAGGGTGGGACACGGCGCTAGTATAAGTGGTGAGGATAGCCGGCGCTGATCCTTTATCAGAACGGATGGTTTTGCTGGAATACGGTAGGAATTGGTATTCCACATGCATGAACTCTGCGAATAGGGTGTGTTGTAGCCCGGGAGGTGCTTTATAGGAAAGACTGTCTGTGGCCAGCACGCGGTCTTTTTGAGACACATTGTAGCGGATGGGATACTTGTTTATACGTATGACAAAGATGGGTATATGCTGGTGATATAGAACCTGGCTTCACAGCCAAATGCTGCAGACTACAGTAGCTATAGCCATGTGGGGTCCTGAGCTTGGAGTGGGAAAAGATAGAGAAGGAGAGGGGCTCGTGTATACATTGTGGTAATCAGAGAAGGATATGGCACAGTTAGCATGTGAAGCTCTGAGTGAGATTTGGGGAACCTGGAGGATCGCAGCGTCCATGTTATGGAGCAAAAGGTTGTCTGCACCAACCTGTACGAGGGCAGAGAGAAAGTTGGAACTATCTAAATGCTCAAAAATAAGAAAAGAAAATGGCTACCTGTACAAGGGAGTAGACCAGAGCGACCGACTGATTGGTTTGTGTACCCATATCACCCTTGCTTGGAACTGAGAATATTTGAGAAGATTATTTCCTATTGCATGCTATATGCGGGCTGAAGGAGCTGACAGGGCGCCAACGCTACAGTCCATGTATTGCACGCTCAAACAACTCAATAACTAGGGATGTCCTGCGTCTGAACTTTGCACGACTATGACTTGGGCTTGTCCATGATGACTAGGGTAGTGCTGACATTGCTCTTTCCAGGATCGGGTATATCTTGATCTAGATACATAGCTCACAAGCAATTTTCATGGATGCTGCCCCGAATTCCCATACGTCTACTTTAGAGTAGTGGAAGCTAGATTCGGAATCCCAAATCTTCTCTACATAACTCCCCTAACAATATTGTAGAGGTTTCACACACAGTGAGGAGATGTTTGATTATCCACACTGAAATGAAGGGAGAGTAAAATAAGATCCAAATGTCATGTCATCATCCATCGTGGCATGATCCATCCTGCCAACCCGGTGATTGCTGAGTAAATCTCCCCATAGTGAGTTCGCCCACAATGATGCCAGCCAGTACTGCGCAAAATATGCCAATGTTGAATGTCATGACTGCCAGCATCCTGAGAATACAAAAAAATCAGTTAGTTTATAGTAACTTTATGTAAATGACTCCTCACTCACAAGACATAGCCTAGCAGCGCACGAAGGCCCTCTAGTAGCGACCGCCCCCCGTCTTGCTGCCAGCTCCATGGGCCACTTGGGGTCCATTTCCCAAAAAGTATCGTGAACCACCTCCGGACGCACGACGGCCCTGCACTGCTGGGTACCAACTCGCTCCGCTCATCGTCATGCAAGGGTGGAGGAGAGGGAGGCGGTGGCGATGGTCTTTCGAATGAATCGTTCGCGCTGACTTGTATGTACCGCGGAAGAGGGCTCGCTCGATCCTTGGGGATCTTTCTGTGTCGATATGCTGCGGGTCGTTGCCCTAGAATTGGTACGGGAAGTCCAGCCACCCGGGTTGAGTTCACCTTTTGTTCTATTTGGAACTTGAGTGCCCCCAGGAAGCGGTTGAACCAGGCAAGCAGGAATAAAAACGCCAGTGTGAGGAGATACGTGGTCATGGAATTGGTGGTCCAGATGCTGAAGAATAAAGTTACTTTCGTTCCTGCTGTGAAGATAGCGGGCATGGACATGTCATGGTGGCCGTGATAGTGGCCATGGCCATCTGTCTCATTTTGCATGCTCGTATCCATAGGTCAGTGGCCGTAGGCAAAGGAATGAATAACATTCGTATTTCTGTAAGAGCTGGCGGAGGTCCGGTTTATATGTTAGGTGGAACGGAGTGTTGGGCACCGGTCTCCTTTGGCTCATTTAGTTCTATATGATTTGATTGATAAACTGCATGAGCACCACATGAGCCGAGATTATTTTAACTTGATCCTATCTACATTGGTTGTGTATGCAGCGCCATTTCGTGTCCTTCTCGCCGACAAGAGGTGTGTTTGAATCATCTCCTTGCTGCAACCGCCACGCAAAGTGTAAATCACGGCGGTATGTATATACTAAATTGTCGCCAGAATATACACATGTAAACTAGAGCCTGAGACCCTATAATACATTGCATCATCCTTGTATTGAACACAAAAGGCCTCATTTTCACTCATGTATCGCATGGCTTAGCGGTCCTGCTGATCATGAGTTATTAGCGCAAATGTGCTCAGTGTCTCCACCACCATTTTCCAGTCCTGTTATAGGCACAGATTCGCCGCCATGAACATCAAAGATACGGAGTATAGAGTAGATACTTGACACGTTGTATCTTTTCTTATACATACCTTCGCAAACTTTTGTCCATCGTTCATTGAGCGCAACGTATGCCGGTTCACTTCATCTCCTCTATAACTCAATATCAAAATGACCCCCAAAGCAGGTGTAACAATCTGTTCCATATTATGGACCGACTTCTTCTTCTCCAATTCATATATTATTCATATAACCCCATATACCCCGTTCCGATCGCCGTGGGGATGGACGGCTACCGCAAAGCAACACAGGTATCTAATAACTTACTGCCCGACCAGACAGAGTCTTTACAATAGTTGTACTGACTTGTCAAAGAATTCCATTTTTCAAGACCAACGAGTGCGGTTAAGCAGGTTGCTTACTGTGATGGCAAAAGCTTTTCTTCCTCTTCCAAATGTTTCTTCATGTCCTCAATTCTTCTTCCGCCTAGTTTTATAACTTTCGACTACTCACATACTAAGACCTAAGTGAATACTCATTATGTATAAGTCGCTTATATACCCACCCCTCCGTGGTTTCAGTGTTGCTCACTTGTCTCCCCAAATACACAATATGGCCCATCCAAGCCTGGGGATCTGTTGGACTGAGATATGAGCATAACAATCATACGCCTCGGTCGCTTACACTGTAGGATGACTTGATGTGATATGTGGAGTGGCAACTTTCTTGACGCTCAGGGGTCCAGCTGCATGTTGAGCAGGGCGCCACGAGGTAGATGGCATTTGCAGAAGAGAAAAGATGACAAATGCGAATGGACTGTTCAGCACAATCGTCCGTCTGAAGATGTGCCAGCTGCAGGCGGTAGATATTGACTTGGAAGCTCAGAAATATGGTATTGAGCGTCCATAATCATCCAAAGATAAGGCTGGTTGTAATAAAGGAAGAGTTGCCCGGCTATCAGACGAGATTGGAGAATGAAGCTTTTCTTTCGCATTCTGTGGGACAACACAAATAATTGCACAGTATCTCTTAAAATGCTATAAGAAACCAGTCGCACTTTGGCTTTACTACCCTTCTAACTGAAGATCGTTAACATACCTTAATGATGGCATGACGTTCCGTGACTATATACACATATGCCTTCACTTATCCTGCCCACTCCAGGTATATATGTATATCACGGTCCACAGGCTTGAATTAATGTTATCAAAGCTTATCGTCTGCTAAAGCTCCATCGTCATTGACAAGGATTCCTCCCCGAGTATAAATAGAACGACCACCATATTCATGAACCAGAATGCCAATCACCCACAGAATGTGGGGTATCGTGTTTTATGAGTCATCAGATCTCCGTAACCCTATGCATAAATAAATAAAACACAAAATACATTTACTTGAATATCAACGCCATTCTCCACCGAATTATTTATCTCCGCAACCCGACATATATCGACCCATTAAACAACCAAACCAGACAATAAAAGATATCCGGAAGATGTCTCATAATCTCACGTTCACCATCCCACCTCATCTAAACGAGTACAACATCCCTCTCTCCAGCTTCAAAGCCGCCAGGCCGCAATGGACCAACTTCATAGTCGGGGGACTTGTCTTCTCTCGCGATTCCCAAAACAAAAGCAATGAGGAAGGCGAACCCAGAGTCCTCCTGCTCCAACGTGCGTTGACCGATTCCCTGCCCGGTTACTGGGAGGGCCCCGGTGGAGGCTGCGAGGAGACGGACGAGACGATTCTCACAGCCGCTGCGCGTGAAGTCGTGGAGGAAAGCGGGTTGCATGTGTCGAGGATTGTGGATTTGGTCGGAGTGGAAGAGTGGACAAAAGAGAAGAATGGGACGATGTTATTTGTAGCCAAGTTTACGTTCTTGGTGGAGGTTCATGAGGCTCAAAGCGTCTTTGGGGAGATGACTGGGACGGAGGGCGAGAAGACGGTTGAGGTTGACGGAGATGCGGTGCAGCGGTGGGAGGATCGAGTCCGACTGGAGCCAAGTGAGCATTCAACGTACGAGTGGGCGACGGAAGCGCAGGTGAAGTTGGGGTTGGACGGGAAGGGGAAGTATAAGATTTTGGAGGACGAGGGTAGGAATCTTCTGAAGGCATTTCGCATGGTAGCTTAATGATTTCTAGTTTGGATGGAGGCATCTATGCTACAGTTTGAATAGCATAGAGTGATGAGAAACGTTAATCGAAACCATGCATAATGTTTTTAGAGCCCACCTAAGCTATAGATACCGGTGTCTCGCCAAATTCAGTCAACGTGGTGGCAAAGTGTTCGATAAAATATGCGGTATAACCATAGTTACACATCTTTGAAGTACAGCAGTAAAGAGTATGTATCCACGGATAGAAAAATGGGACATAGTTTTAGGTGGACCGCATTTACGCCTCAGAAAGATCATCCTCAAGAGGCAGATCTCCGTTAGCTTGCTTCGCAAGAGCAACACGGTCTACTTCCTTCCAAACGCGCAGCAGGTTACCTCCCACGACCTTGCCCGCATCCTCATCACTAACACCCCTTCTGAGGAGTTCGGCAACCAAGTCTGGAAATTTGGAGACGTCGTCCAGGCCGCGAGGAACAGAGCCGATGCCGTCAAAGTCGCTTCCAAACCCAACATGGTCAAACCCGATGAGTTGCCCGATATGCATGATGTGGTCGGCAACATGCTCTAAAGTAGAATTTTCGGGGACGAAATCAGGGAGACCGTTCGGGTTATCACCAGCCTTGCACGAGACGAAGTCCGGGGCAATGTTAACCATCACCAAGGAATTTCGTGATTTGACCAGCTTCAGTACATCGTCGGGGACATTACGTGGATGAGGACAGATGGCATATGCAGAGCTATGACTGAAGATGACCGGCGCACTACTGCCCGCCCAGTCGTCCTTGCCTGCGCCCAGGACGTCTCGCATAGTCTCGGCGCTTACATGGGACAGATCAACAATCATCCCGAGCCGATTCATCTCGGTAACTAGGGCCTTTCCAGCTTCACTGATACCATGCCAAAGGGGGTCAGCCTTCTTCACGCTGCCGTCTGGGAGCTCGGTGACGGCAGCATCAGCGTAACGGTTGTGGCAGTTATGGGTCAGGGTCGCATACGATACACCCTGCGCGTAGAAATGACGTAGATGGGCAAGTGAATTCCCAATGGAGTGGAGGCCCTCCATTCCCATCGGCGAGATGATCTTCCCGTCCAGGAAGGGCTGAAGAGCTGTGGTACCATTTGGGGGCGTGGAGAAGGTGTCCGGATAGGCTTGCTGCAGGCGGAGCCATAGGTCTACCTGCTCCATTGTCTGGCGTACACCTGATACATGTTAGTCAACTGTGATTGGAGAGATAGGCTGAGAACATTTCTTACTCAGAGCGTAGTTGGCATCCGAAAAGTCCCGCCAGTTTTTGGGACACTCCACAAACACGCTCCAGAATGTGCCACCAACTCTGCCCTTGGAAAGACGAGGCAGATCAACGTGTCCGGGAAAGCCACCATGAGCGAATTTTGCAGTGAAATTGTCCTGATAGATTTGGTTCCCATATATGGCACGGATGAGAATGGGAAGATCATCATGACCATCTGTACTTTCCGCTTTAGTAATTGACATTTAAGTAGCTGAAGGTCGTTGTCTCCTACCGATCAATGGAGTTTGCTGCAATATGCGGTCTACTCTTTCTTCCAGGGTTAAGAGTTCATGATGTTGTGAGATGCCTATCCCTAGTGGGTCCAACCGCAAGCCATGTGCGGTCATCATGAGGAAGAACGCTAGGAATATAAAGTAGAGAGCGCGCTCCATCTTTTGACCGATAGAGAGCCTTGCTGGAAGAGGTTGCGCGACGGCCTGCTCTTCAAGATTGAAGGAGTGAGAAAGGGGGTCTTTCTCTTTGGACAATGGATCGCCTTTATCGCGCATCCTGCCTAGTGGACTCGCGGTGGTCTATATATGTGCTGGGACAGAACTAATTCGACCGCCTCGTATTCTGTACAAATCCCTGGTGTGCAGGAGTTGACGTGTGCCAGTAGTATTGCTGGATGCAAATTGCAATATAGTTAATAATGGAAAAACGGATTGAGGCGGCTATCGCAGGTTATTTAAGACCCTCGTCTTAGTAAGTATGGCGTTATCATAAACAACGCTGATATACTCCGTGTTGGGGGTAGAGATCGATAAGCGTGAGGTATGAAGTTTGACTTACTCGATCAATCGATGGGTTGCCGAGAAAGACTTGAAAAAATCGCTAGCTAATTTATAGTATCACAACGTACTGGTCGATACTAGTATAAAACTGTATCGCTGTAGTCGCTGAGATGAAGAAAGAGAGTTGAGCTGCTGGACTGAACGGAACGCCGAGTGAAATCAGGTGTCCAGGCATGCAAGGGCCCGATCTGGTAACCGTGCGGGAGCCAATCAGCGCAAAGGTGAAAAATTCCTCGTGACATCGAAGTTTCGCAACGTCAACTTTTTTTTTTCTTGGGATTTCGATATCTTCCTCGGTTCAACAACGGCCATTCGCCAAAATCCACTGTTGGAGGAGTCTACCTATGCTGTGTGTCTCATAGCCACAGCCATCACCGAGTCTCTTGTCAGAAGAGCTTTGTTCAACCTGGAGGGAATCTGCGATGCCACTGCAGGTTTCCCCACTGCCCCTCTTAACCACTCCGCTCTGAGTCCTTATCTTCTACAAAGAAGAGGCGTTGACCTCGCACGGAGAAATTAGGCGAGCAAAGACTCGTCGTAGCTCTGCTAACTTATCATGGCCGAACTCTTCCTGACCGAAGGTATATACCTTGTTGTTATCTTCATCCTTTCCGAACCAACCGCCTTGCTGACGAATTTAGGTCTTGTGACCCTCTGGCATTCCTACCGTCTCCCTATTCTTATCGCTGTCACTTCAGTCGCTATTATCCTGCATGCCTATCGCAGGTTCCAACCCAAGTCCAAAGCCGTAACCGCGTCCTCAATTCCGCCATCCCCTCGGAGCCAATCCCCGGAGAAATTGGACCAGATTCGTACTGGGGAGCGTGAGAAACCGGCAGTCGCGGAGAAAAGCGTTCCAAAGCCTGCTGTTGGAAATGACTCTGTCCCGAAGGTTTCATCTGGGCCTAAGAGAGTATCTGGGAAAAAGCCACTAAAGGTCGCTGGGCGCCGTCGGGAGGACCAGGGACCCCCGTTGTCTTTCATCCAGCCTATTATTTTCTTCGCCTCGTTGACCGCGAATACGGAGAGATACGCTCAGATATTGCTAGAGGATCTGCGGACGGCCGCGAAGGAGAGAGCCGATCCCGAGAACCGTGAGCGTGGTCTTCTTCCCCCTCAAATCCACGACCTGTCATATATTGACTTTGACGACTACTTCACCACGGCGCCGAAGCCTCCGCCCACCTCTCCTGGCACACGCTATGTATACTGCTTATTGATCCCTACCTACAACATCGACACCGTCCTCAACACTTTCCTTGGCCATTTGGATGAAACCCACCATGACTTCCGCATTGATACCTCGTCTTTGTCAACATTGGCTGGTTATTCTGTTTTTGGGTTCGGTGATAAGGAGGGTTGGCCTACTGAGGAAGAAGGATTTTGCTCGCAAGCCAAGGAGTTAGATCGCTGGATGGCAAAACTTACTGGCAAAAAGAGAGCGTATCCTTTGGGATTTGGTGACGTCAAGAGTGATGCTGAATCTGCCTTGAAAGAGTGGTCCCGCGGGTTGCAGGGTATTTTGATCGACATTCTTGATAATGGTGGCCTCGGTGAAGGCGTTCCTGGTAGCGGCGATCCGCTCGAGAGTGACGAGGAGGACCTGGACGACGACGAGAACGACGGAAAACGCACTAAACGACGCAACGGCCAAGATGTAGTTGACCTAGAGGATATCAAGATGGGCTCTGATGGACAGACTGGATCTGGTCCTGTCCCAGTGGACTTTACCACAGCGGGCAAGTCCGCGGCACCCAGCCAATCAACTGAGAAGGAAATGGTTCCCAAGACATCGCCCACCTATGCTGCGCTCACGAAACAAGGATATACTATCGTCGGCTCTCACTCCGGTGTAAAGATCTGCCGATGGACCAAGTCCGCTTTGCGTGGCCGAGGTTCGTGTTACAAGTTCTCGTTCTACGGTATTCGATCGCATCTGTGTATGGAGGCAACTCCTTCGCTTTCTTGCAGCAACAAATGTATTTTCTGTTGGCGTCATGGCACCAACCCTGTCGGGACGACTTGGCGCTGGAAGGTAGATTCACCAGAGTTGATTTTCCAAGGCGTTAAGGAGGGTCACTACAAAAAGATCAAAATGATGCGTGGTGTTCCTGGTGTCCGTGCAGAGAGATTCGCGGAGGCGATGCGTATTCGCCACTGCGCCCTGAGCTTGGTCGGAGAGCCGATTTTCTACCCTCATATTAATGAATTTTTGGACATGTTGCACAGCGAGCACATCTCTAGCTTCCTGGTGTGCAACGCTCAACATCCCGATCAACTTGAAACGCTGCATCGTGTGACCCAATTGTATGTCTCGATCGATGCTAGCAACCGTGAAAGTCTGCGCAAGATTGACCGCCCCCTTCACCGAGACTTCTGGGAACGATTCCAGCGGTGTCTGGATATCCTACGCGAAAAGCGTCATGTCCAGCGGACTGTCTTCCGTCTCACCTTGGTTAAAGGATTTAACGTCGATGATGAGGTGATTGGATACGCGAACCTGGTCGAGAAAGCGTTGCCGTGCTTCATTGAGATCAAAGGTGTGACCTACTGCGGCACGAGCACTAGTGCTGGAGCAGGATTAACCATGCAAAACGTCCCTTTCTATGAAGAAATTCAAGAATTCGTGGTTTCCTTGAATACGGAGCTCGAGCGCCGCGGATTGGACTATGGAATTGCTGCCGAGCATGCCCACAGTTGTTGTGTGCTGCTTGCGTCGACGCGGTTCCATGTGAATGGTAAATGGCATTCTCGCATTGATTACGATCGCTTTTTTGAACTCCTGGAAAAGGAGAAAGCCGACGGTACGCCATTCCGCCCGGAAGACTACATGAGGGAGACGGAAGAATGGGCTTTGTGGGGTAACGGTGGCTTCGACCCCAATGACCAACGTGTTTACAAGAAGGGTACCAAGAAGGCCCTCCAGGCTGCGACTGAGTGATAGGGCAGCTTGACCCTGCACATCTGAGGCTCAACGCTCTCCTCAAGTGCTTATCTCCACCCCGACGGCATCAGCGCCGTTACATGACCACTACTCCTGGATCTGTGTAAAATACACAAAATCTACGGAGGGATTAGCTGGCTAAGCGAAGGCCCTGATTTCTCATGGGCAGGGCCCTGGAAATGCCTATTGAGGCAGGACATTGACGAGAAAAGTAAGAGAGTTGGGAAGGGACTATCCTAGCATTTCCGAGGAGTGTCTCGAGATGCGTGTGCATATCCCAGGGCTGCGAGTACAAGCCCCGAATTCATAAGAAATGCGACCTGTTCGGTGTAGCATACGCGTTGCTATCTTACTGAGTTGATTAAGGACAAAACAAGCCAAACCTGTACATAAAACTCAATTGATGACTATGTTTTACGCAAGAGCTTGATGTATCAATCTTCTAGCCTCTCTCGCGCGTGTTTCGGATAATCTCAGTATTGATTCGATTGATATGGCAGATGGAAACCAACTAAAGTCACTTGCAAGGCTCAAAAATGGATACAATTGATACCCTGACGTTCGAGCGTCGTACCTGAGCAGAAGACCATCTACACAGAATTTGCGGTTTGACTCCTGGAAGAAGTCCTTACACTCTCACCGTTGAACGTCTGCGTGTTGAACTTCCGCGCAGGGAGCTGCATTTCAAACATCCGATCGATTTCCATCGGTGTCCGATCTTTCATTTCGGGTACGACATACCACGTTGCCGCCAACCCTAGGAGGCACAAGCCCGTATACACAAACCCTGTTTTGGCCCGCAGGTCACCCTCGTCTGGGTTGAATATATACGGCAACACGAGACCAAAGATCCCGTTGGATAACCCGTTGATCACCCATCCCAAGCCCTGTGATTTAGCCCGTAGACGGAGCGAAGATGCTTCGGCCCCAACGGCATAGGACGCTGGCCACGCCGTTGCACCGCAAATGGTAATGACTAGCATCATCGTGACTGCAGACCACCTGGATATTGAGCGTTAGTCGAATGCAACGGCCAGACATACTCCAGACGGGACTTACCAGATAGTAACCACGCCCTGGAAGCAGCCTAGTATCCCCATGCCAGTCCACAGGATAGTCGTGATCGCCAACCCCAACATGATCAGTGGCACGCGATCAAAGCGAGACAGCGTCCACATGCTGAGTATATTGGCGACCAGACCAAGCGCAATCCCAACCTCGAGGAACAGAAGACTATTGGTTGCGCCCATGCCGACAATCTGCAGAAAATAGCTAGCTTTGGACATGAGAGTTAGACCGAACAGCTGTGGGATCAGATTCGCGTATAAGACAATCATTGTCCGACGGAAGTTGTTGCCTCTGAAGCACTCAAGGTAGCTGGCTGGGTGGTTTTGCGCCTGCTCATTCTCGTGCCGAATGGACGAGCACAGTTTCTCTATGGCTGCCTCCGAATCCACTCTCGGTGAATCCAGCCGGCGTTGTGATTTCCGGGCCGCGTCCATTCGGTCTTTGCGGATGAGCCACGTTGGGCTTTCGGGGAGAAGGATGGAAACGACAAGGGGCAAGCCTGAGAATGGCCATTGTGAGATGAAACACTTCAGATAGCCACCTGGGCCTTTCTCCTTTAGAGACGTGAAGACGACGATGCTGCCGATTAGCTGGCCCAGCAACGTGAAGAGGGGGAAGAAGGCGAGGATCGGGCCGCGCAACGTGGGAGTCAGGACTTCGGACATGTATGTCTGAATTGTGCACGTTAACATGTTAATAGCATAGCCCTGGACTAGTTTCGCTACGAAGAAGACCGCTCGCCGGCCATCGATCCCGCCAGGGAGATTCGATACGTAGGCGATCGCCACGCCTACTGCCGATATGATACTTGCGAACGCCAGGGAGGAGCGTCGGCCGAGGCGGTCCTGCACGTAACCTCCGAAAATGGCTCCAAACATGCCCCCAATAGGTTGGCAACATTCCAGAGACCCAGCCAGAGGGACGGAATGATCAGTCGACCATCGAGCTTGCGACCGAAGTCGCGCCTTGTCCTTATTAGAACACCCAGTGAACATAAAGGGGTATAAGGGTTCTCACTGGAACTCAGGCATAGAAGAGACATTGGATACAATGGCCAGATCGTAGCCATACAAGATAATGCCAGATGTAAGGGCGAGACAGTATCCTGCCACCTTCGGGGATCGTTTGATATCTGCTAGCACGGATATCTTGCCCCAAGGAAGGGGAGGTTCGGACAGGACTTCGGTATCGTGTTTAGCAATGGGCTTGCTGTCTGCATCGACCATCTTGTCCATGTTGCTAGGTATGTATTCTCGTATGCTACAAACGACTGAAAGGAAATATGTCAACCAAACCTAGAAATTCTCTTGAACGCTTGTTTATAATAATGAATGTAAAAGTAACGAGCAACAAATAGCTCAACATACCTTTGCTTCACTCTGATATCCTGAGGTACATCACCAGTGCATACACTGGGAGTAGTGAATGACTGGGGTCAAGTTTAGCAAGCTGCAATCGTGTTTCCACCCCCCAAGATATATGTGAATGACATCTACACCCCAACCGAGGTTCTCTGAGTACGTACTTGGCGTACATCCTAGCGAAATTTAATTTATACACTCAACAAATTAGAGTGCACTCATTCAAACGCAAAAGGCGCAGTCGTGCGGGGTTAGTAGCAACAACTGGTCATTTCACCTATTAGTGAAGATCCTAGCGGAAGTAAGTAGTCGACGGCGTTTGATCTCTTGTACCTATTTATACACGCATAAGACCCCTACTTGCAGTCGAGCTAGCAGGTTGGACATTATGCAGTGTACCACATCCAACGGAATATATGTGAAACAATTCGACATGTTATTTGAGAGTGGCAAACAATCCGTGGTACGGATGGGAACAAGAAATTGGAATAAACATACCTGAAGTCTTCCACAGCCATTCGAAACTGTTGATGTGTTGGATATCTTATATGCTAAAGCTTGCTCGATGGTCAGATTATGGTGATTAAAACTGTGGTTACAATGCTTGAGTCGTATCGAGTAGCCATATCGTAAGGCTTATAGACGACTTTCGGTGCCGGCCTTACTTGAACCTGTCCAAAAGACTCTCATTCGGCTGATAGTGACACAGAAAGTTCGTACAAAACACTAATATGACCTTTGATTCTGTCACACAGCATAGTGTCACTGAATTTGGATTGAGGCAATGAAACCTTACGTTTCACGCATTCGTTCAGCAAGATTGAACATGGTTGTGTGGTGGATTACAGGAGAGTTTTTCGGTCACAAAGTTCAACGGCCAGAAAACAACCAGGTCCTTTGTGAAGCTTTTCCCCGGATCTTTTAGCTCCCACAAGGCTTGGTCAAAAGATTGCAAGGTCCATGATTAATTTCCATTCAACTTGGGGGATATGCGCAAGGATAGTGGAAGGGGAGGTGCGTACATCGGTATAGAGACTTGGTACTAAGAGTGGATGTCTTCTGGAAGCTCACGCGGTTAGAGACATATGCTGACCAGGTATAAAGGATCATTAGGCTTCGAAAGAGCCCACCACAAATGCGTACCGAGTTATTGATAGAAACATTTCTCAAATGATCAGATCAACTAATGCCGTCACCTTTTATTGCGTTGGGTCTCCTAGTAAACCGTTTTTTGACCTATATCGTGCGTATTTCATTACTATTTGAGGCTGTTCAAGACCTGAATTGTGAAATTGCTCTTCTGTTAATTCCCGTTGTTCTAAGACAACACTGGGATGGTGAATCTCTCTAAGTACTATACGGGAACTCGGAGCAGGGCACCAGGGCAAAACCTCACATACAACTGAATGCGTCTTAGCAAGAGGTATGTAAGCGTGTACTGTAACTGGGATACTTTTAGCCCATAGGACATGCTTATTGCTATACTACAGCTAACTCACTCGCTTTGGATGATAAGGTTCCGACTGGGAACATATGCAGGCATAAGAGGCAACGTTTAGATTGATGGTGAATACAATGCTTATAGGTAGGGCTGGAATAATGACATGCTCGCGAATGACCACCTTTCCGGGGGATATTGGAACGTAGCTTCCAGCCGACTTCCCGGCCTTGCTGATGTTTATTTAAAGCCTGATGTGTGATGCAGACAAAGTACGAGCTGCACAATGACAGCCAATCTAAGAGTTTCAGTAGATGCGATTGTTAGCTGCGTGTCAGGGGAGGTTGGAGAGATAGACCGACGCAGGTTCTTTGGTCATCAGCTGGCTCTAAGCGGTTTATGCAGATTTGTATCTCAGTCAAGTAGAGTAGGATGAAGCTACTTCTTCGATTACTTGATAAAGGTGTACCGTCTTCTTTACCTTCAGGGGGCACACCTGTCTATATGATAGTCCTTTGGCCTTGTGTCCATGACCTATCATCGAAGGTTGTATCTACCAAAGTGACCAACGGGACATGGCACATGTCTCAATATGGCAGTAGGCCTTGTCGTGGAAGCTGACAATCTCTGACGGAAACTCGGAGACCGTGATGAAGATATCCACTATCTGTCGTTAGAATAACCTTTAGAAGAATCCCGAAGAAATGCACGAAACTAATCAAAATTGGTCATATACTTGTTCGGCTAGGGTACAGGGTTGCAATTTACAAGGCCCCAAGGATTCACCCGGGAGGTCTATATCATATGCAAACCTGGCAATGTCGAGTGTGGTTTTGTTCGGTCTTGTGCGAATCAGGAATGGAACAAAGGAGAAATCGCATTAATATTGTGTATTTCTTTCCTTTTGAAGACATGCAGTCTACTCTATCCAACATTGCGTTCTGCGTCGACAACAAAAAATATGCACCTTAGGTGGTATGTAAATATACATCAGGGCATACGGAGTGATTCGTTCTCGAAAACAATCAGTTCAACCACAGCTGCCAGACCTTTAGTTGAGATACAAAGCATTCGGTAGATCCCAACTGTACCTTCAGTTACCTGACAGGGGAGATTCGCAAGCTATGCCA